CCACAATGGAAGTAAATTAACAAATTAAGTGAATGACTGAAAATGCTCTATGTTCAATAAAAATGCAACTCATAAATGTAGAAGAAATAATGAAGTCAGAAAATTACCATTTGACAACCAGTTCAGTATCATACAGAACACTTTCATCACCATAAAATATTCTCTCCTGTGTTTTCATTTTGAATCAACAACTCCCTGAACCCTAAACTCTGTCAAACACTGATCTGTTTTCTATCATTATGCATTGTTGTTTTCCAGAATGTCATGTAAGTGGAATATATGTAGCTTCTTGGGTCTATTTTTTGTTTGTTTTTTTTTTTCACTTAGCAAAATGCATTAAAGATTTTCCAAATTGTTGCTCAAATCAGTAATGCATTCCTTTCTATTGTTGAGTAGTAATCCCTTGTATGAAAATGCTACAGTTTATCTACTCACCTGTTGAAGGACACCTTCTTTCTACCAGTTTTTGGTATTTCTCAGGTTCTAAATCCATTCCAAAGGAGCTCTGGTGTCCCAGAGAGTTAAGCATTCAGCTACTAGGCTATTAACTGAAAGATTACCAGTTCAAACCCACCCAGCGGCTCTTCGAGAGACAGACTTTTCAATCGGTTTCCATAAAGAATACATCCAAGAAAACTCTATGGGGCAGTTCTACTCTGTCATATGGGGTTGCTATGAGTTGGAATCAACTCGATGGCACCCAACAACAACAGAACCACACCAGGCACAGAGTAAGCACTCAGTAATTTTATTTTCTTAGCTAAAAAAATGAATGAATTAATCTTCCTTTTTCCCTTGACTGGATTTCTGCATCGCAAGGAATCATACCTAATTCTTTTGTCCTAGAAGAGCTGCTTTCTGGAGATTCATTTCACCTGGCACAGAAACACTGGTTTCTAGGGACACATCCAAATGAACGAACATGGCTTCCTTTTTACCTTGGTGATCCTAAGGACTCAGCATCTAAGGACCCTGGTGTCAAGGCATCCCACGCTCACCCAAAAGAGAAGATGTGGAGTAAATACATAGTATATATATAATATACAGTAAATGAACAAATCCTATGTGTACATCTTGAAGCGTTTCTGTGTATGCACACACTGTTGTAACCACCACTCAGATTAAGGCATAGAAAATTTCTTATCCTAGAATGTAGTCTCATGCGCCATCCTGTCAATATCACTCCAGAGGTAACCACTCTTCTAATTCTATCACCTTAGATTAGATTTGCCTGTTCTTGAATTTCATGTACAGTATATGGAATCACATAAAATGAACTCTTTTAAGTTTGGTCTTTTTTAGATCATTCTAACGTCTGTGAGAATCTTCCATGTTGTTGCATTTATCATTAGTTTGTTCCTTCTATTGCTGTGTGGTATTCCATTGTATGATATACCACAATATATTTACCATATCCATTACTGGTGGGTATATCAAATGTTTCCAGTTTTTTACTATTACAATTATAAGTACTAGGGATATTATTGAACATGTCTTTTGGTGAACATATATATTCATTTCTTTTGGTCATATTGTTGTTGTTGTGTGCCAATGAGTCAATTCTGACCCACAGTGACCATATATGACAGAGTAGAACTGCTTTATGGGGTTTCTTAGGCTGTAATCTTTACAAAAGCTGATCGCCAGGTCTTTTCTTCTGCGGAGCAGATGGGTGGGTTTGAACCACTGACTTTTCGGCTAGTAGCCAATCACTTAACCATTGTGCTACCAGAGCTCCTTCTTGGCCATATTACTAGGTATGGAATTATTGGTCTATAGATTAATCATATTTTTAGCTTTAATAGACACTTCCAAATAATCTTCTGAAATGGATGAACAAATTTAAACTCCTGTGAGCAATATGAGAGAATTCTAATTGCTCCATATTCTTGTCAATGCATTGCCGTGTTGGTCTTTTAATTTTATCCCTATTGGTGTGTATAGAATGATAACTCATTGTGGTTTAAATTTACAGTTCCTTGATGTGTACTTTTCATGAGCTTACCGGACATCGTGCATTATTTAGTGGAAGGGACTGTTCAAGCCATTTTTCATCTTTATTGGGTTGTTTTTTCTTTTCTATATTGATGTGTAAAAGTCTATACAATTTAGACAGGAGTCCTTTGTCACCTATATGTATCGGGCATATTTTCTCTCAATATGTGGCTTCCCTATTCACTTTCTTAATGATGGCTACTGATGATTAGAAGCTCTTAATTCTAATATTGTCCAAATTATAATTTATTCCTTTATGGTTAGCATGTTTGGCAACTTGTGTCCTTAAAAAAATGTATTTACTCTGTGACCATAAAAATATTTTCTTATAAGTGCTTTATTATATTAGTTATTACTCTAAATCTTCTCTCCATCTCAAATTGATTTTTTGTATTGTGCAGGTTAAAGGGTCAGGTACATCTTTCCATATGAATATTTCACCAACCCAACATAATTTATTGAAGGATAATCCTTCACTCACTGCAGTGATGTCACCACTGTCAGAAATCAGATGACTATACATATGAGGAGCCCTGATGGTGCAGTGGTTAAGAGATCTGCTGCTAACCAAAAGGTCAGCAGTTCGAATCCACCAGTCACTCTTTGGAAACACTATGGGACAGTTCTACCCTGCCCTATAGGGTCACTATGAGTCTGAATCGATTCGACAGCAATGGGTTTTTTACATATGTGATGTGCACTCTATTCTGTTCCATTAATCAGTTTGCTTATTCTGGGAGCAAAACCACACAGCTTTGCTACTATGCATTTATAATACCAACACCAGTATCAGTTGCCATCAAGGCAAACCTGACTCAGGGTGACCCCATGTATGTCACAGTAGAACTGTGCTCCATAGGGTTTTCAATGGCTGATTTTTTCAGAAGTAGATCATCAGGCCTTTCTTCCAAGGCACTTCTGGGTGGACTCAATCCTCCAGCCTTTGGGTTAGCAGCCAAATGAGTTAACCATTTGCATTACCCAGGAACTCCATACTTTTATAATGGATGTAAGATTATTTAGATTTACAGTTTTTTCTTGTGTCAGTTTTGGTAAGTTGTGTTTTTTAAGTAATCCTTTTGATCTACATTCAAAATTTATTTTGAAATGTGAACATAGTAATCTGTTTCAATACTTTGAATGTCGAAAGATTTCTGGGCATAAGTTACAATTTTATAAATTAAATTAATTTACTTTTCAATGGGTAATTCAGTTAAATGTTTCAAAAAATCTGAAATAGTATTCATTTATTAATTTCCCTCTCCACTTTCGTTATTTGTCCAGGTCCTATATTAGTCCATGTACTACCACACATGTAATCTCTATTTTAGAAATAGGTAATTCTTTTCCCTTCTTTATATAAACAGCAGCACATTTTTAAACTCTTCTGCAGATGCTTTTTCCATTGGTTAATATCTTGGGGAGACCTCTGTATATAGGACATTGAGAAGTTCTTATTTTTCTTAAAGCTGTATAGCATTCCACTGTTTGATGTACCCTAATTCATTCAACCAGTTCCATACTGACAAGCATGTATGTTGTACCCAGTCCTTGAAACTTTAAACCATGCTGAAATGTATATTTTGGACATAGATCACTTTTTCACATGTGTGGACACAGCATTTGTTTCTCCAAAAGTAAAAAAATCACTGTATCAAAGTATATAGCATTCCTAATTTTATTGTCACAATGTTGACTACAATGATTGTACTGATTGTAATGTCCACCAGCAATCTTTGACAGGACTTGATCTCTGGAGCCAAATGTTGTCAAAGGTAAAATTTTGTCAATTAGGTGAAACAAATTACTTCAGGGTAGTTTTACTAAATAGTTCTCAGGTATAAAGTTGCTTCAGAAGCCAGGCTAATGTATTTCCAGAAAAGGGGAGAGAAGTCTTCTTCCTCAAATGACCCCTCACCTAGGATCCGGACATTCAGACACATCCTGCAGATAAAGCTCAGCTGTTGACTGACCAATATAAACTGCATTATTCTTTCTTATTTAAAGAACCCAAATTATATTGAGGACAGGAAAGGATCCCACTAGAAATCATATTTTTCAGGCACCCTAGAAAGTAGGGGTGACCAAATGTCATGGGTTGAATTGTGTCCCCCCAAAATTATGTGTATCAATTTGGCTAGACCATACTTCCCAGGATTGTGTGATTGTCCACCATTTTGTCATCTGATGTGATTTTCCTATGTGTTGTAAATCCTATCACTATAATGTTAATGAGATGAACCACTGACTTTTCACTATGATGTTAATGAGATGGATTAGCAGCAGTTATGTTGATGATATCTACAAGATTAGATTGTGTCTTAGGCCAATCTCTTCGAGATATAAAAGAGAGAAGCGAGCAGAGAGACATGGGGACCTCATACCACCAAGAAAGCAGCACTGGGAGCAGAGTGTGTCCTTTGGACCTGGAGTCCAAACCCTGTATTTGATGAACATGAGAATATACCTTGGAGAACTACACGTAAGGGAAACTACTTGACCAGGACCTCCAGCTGTTGTATTCTGAAGTGGATTGCTGTGTTAGTGCTGAGTCCAGGCTTCCCAAAAGCTGCCAATCACTAAGGGCCACAGGGATGCTAGGATGGGAAAATCTCTGGGAGACCTGGAATGCTCTGATGGCTAACTTTGACTTCAGGAAACCCCAGTGTCTTTACTCAGCTTTACTTAGACTTCATGGTCCCCTAGGACACTTCCACCCAACCTTCTTGCTTCTATCTTTCACTCAGGATCACACCTGCCTTGTGGTCTGATGGCTCTCTCAGCCTCCCGGCTCTCTCGCCATTTTCTCATACAGGCTTTTGCCTAATTAATTGCCTGCACATTTAATTTTGTCTTGGTGTTTGCTTCTCAAAGGACCTAGACTAGCACACTATTTTTGTAAGGCACAATTAATTTATGCTGATAATTGCTGGGTGAGAAATATCACTCAGTAGTATACATTTAGTTGATGGGAGAATTAATGTAGAAAGTAGTTTCCCCACTTCTCACTGAGCAGGCCAGCAGTTAGCCAAGTGGACACCCCTGCTGATTAGCATGAAGGGGCTGAGACTGGCATAACCAAGTTCTAGAAATAGTTTAATAATAAATATTGTAGAATCATTTTTCCAGAAGGAACCTGCATAGAAGGAGAAAATGAAATCTGCCAAATAAAAGAAAAGGAAACAGGCCATGAGAATGAGAGCACTTTGTATAGCTCTGATCTTTGGGCTAATTTTTTTTTGTAAACCTGGAGCTCTGGAGGTAGTGGACACACTTATGATGTTTATACAGATGAAAAGCCAGGAACCTACTGCTCCAGCCCATGACACTCTGAAAGATGATGTCCCTCAGAGCCATGAGAGTGAAGAAAAACCACCTAACGACTGGCTTAGATGGCAGCATATAACAATATCCAACATACTGTCTAATTTCAGATCTGTTCATGTTATTGACTGTTGTGATGTAGTACAGCAAGTTAGAGCTTATCAGGGTATTCAAGATCCAGAAGAGAAGGAGACAGGAAAAAACTTGCTGTGCAGTCCACGGTTTGAGCTTTCTCCATATGGTGGTCCTGGGACTGATGATGATGGCCTGGACCACACTGAGGAGGCAGGTGGTACAAATTGAAAGTCCCCATGCCACCCTCCCCAGGTAAACCACAGTTTTACAACCAACATTACCTAGGAAGTTACTTAAATGAAAAGCTGATATTACATCTGAGATTCCTCTGGCACAAAGTGTCATTGCATTACTAAAAGCCAAGTGCATGAGAATAAGGTCTATGGATTTTTTCTCAGGACCCCTGCGAAACATGTACACATGCCCCACAAACGTAAAGAAGTTCCCTCCGATTCCAGATCCAGTAAGAGAAAGAAAGATTGTTCCCTGGATGAAGTCACTCCAAATCATTCTCTTACTTTGTGGAAAGAACCAGGAAAAACGTCTCGAGAAACACAGATAAGTAAGGATGACATGTTTCAGGTCTGTGGCTTCTCTCTAGTTCACTACAGTGAAAAGAACAGCTGGAATACTAAGGTATGCAAATGTACACGATTCTGTTTATTCAATCTTATCTTCTGGGCCTTCTCTGTTCTATCATTTTTCTGTGACTTCAGTTGACTTATAGAAGGTGATGACTCTAAAATCTATACATGGAGCCCATTATTTCTCTTCTATATTGCACACTATTCATCTGATCCTCCTAACATCACCTTCTGTATATTCCAAGTGTCCACAAAGTATGTGATAACATTTTCCCCTAACAATCCTGCTTTTCTTTCTGTATTTTCTAATATGTAGTCAATTCCTACTCTGCAATCCTGTAAATCATATTTTGATGCCTCCCTCCCTTACTTCAAAAATCCAACCAGTTCCTACACTGTTGTCATAATATTTCAAGTGCCCCGCCCAGGTCCCCCTTAGTAGCCTTTGCACCTATCCCCTGGCTGCTGAGAATGTTGGCTGGTAACAGTTCACAGCTGACATTTTCTCTTGGACAAAGGAGAGCAACCTCTACCAAAGGATAGGGACTGTCCCCTCTCACTCAGAAAACACAGGCCAGTTACTGACTGAAATGGAAGGACAAGCTGCCTCCTGAACCTGAGGATACTTCTCTTATGCAATTTTTGCCCCGTTGTCCTCATGTGCTGGTGGTTGGCTGACACTTTTTGTTAGCTGAGACTATATTGTGGGCTTTTGTTCTCCTGCCACACCTGCTTTCTCCCCACCTCTTCCTCTAACTTCCCCCAGTAAATCACATGAACACTTTCATTCTCAGAATCTACTTCGAGAGAACCCAGCTAAGACAAATGTCCTGTTGATTCTATTGAAATTTGTCAAATCTTATCATTTTCTCAATCAGAAATGCTAGCCTAATATCTCACGTTATGGTTAGTACAATATTTTTTTAACTCGTCACTCCTCCAGGTTTTACCTCACCCATTTTGTGCTAGACTGAAATTTCAAAACAGAAACCTGTTTATTGGAATTCCCATCTTACAATCCTTCAATAGCTTTGCATTAGTGCAACCACATTTATCCTCTTTAGTTCAGTGCAAAGCTTACATATTTGGCTTCCTTGCTTTCTTATCAAACTTATACTGAACTGTTAAACTATATTCAAATCCCAAACAAATTAAATCTTACCACTTATCTTTCCCGCAGGAATATGCATAAACTCCCTATACCAATCACTTCTCACCTGCTATGTGTCAGAAACTAGCTTAAACTTCCTTTGCCAAATAAGCATTCACTGATCTCGTTGGACTGTATTGCCACTGTCTGTTTACCGCTTTTGTTCTTCCACTTGACTATGGGATACTTTAGAGAATCTCACTTTCCATCCAAGTTACCTGACTCTGCCTGTGAAAGAATATTCAATAAAGAGTTTTGTCTTAGTTATTGACTGCTGCAATAACAGAAATACCACAAGTTGGTGTCTTTAACAAAGAGAAATTTATTCTCGCACAGTCTGGGAGGCTAGAAATCTGAATTCAGGGCACCATCTCTAAAGGAAGGCTTTATTTTGTGTCGGTTCTGGGGGAAGGTCCATGTCACCAATCTTCTCCTGGTCTAGGAGTGTCTTGGTGCAGGGACACCGGGTCCAAAAGATGTGCTCTGTTCCCGGCACTTCATTCTTGATGGTATGAAGTCCCTCTCCTCTCCTCTCGACCCTCTTTTGTATCTCAAAAGAGATTGACTTGAGATACAACCTAATCCTGCAGATTGAGTACTGCCTTATTAACATAATTGTCTCTAATCCTGTGTCATTAATATCATAGAGGTTAGGATTTACAGCACATAAGATAATCACATCAGATCACAAAATGGTGAACAACCACACAATACTGTGAATCATGGCCTAGCCAAGTTGACATACATTTTTGGGGGACACAATTCAATCCATAACAAGTTTATAAGTACATAATCAAATGAGGCATGAAATTGTGGTTGTAAAAGTGCAAAGTAGTGATAGAGGTGATGTTAGGGGCCAATAAGGAGGGGTATATGAGGAAATTCTTTTCTCCTATTGAAAGTAAAAGCGTAAAATCTGAAGATCTAAAGTCAATCCAAGTTGGCTGACATGTTCATTAGGGATTTCATTGTCTCCTCAGATGCATAGATGTGTTTGAACCTCAAAACCAAACCTGTTGCTGTCAACTCAATTCTGACTCATAGTGACCCTGTAGGACAGAGTAGAACTGCCCCATAGAATTTCCAAGGAGTGGCTAGCGGATTCAAACTGCTGACCTTTTGGTTAGCAGCTGAATGCTTAACCACTGGCACCACCAGCTCCAGTGAGTCGCGTGCACTGTCTTTCAAGACACAGAAACTGACAAATTTATAGTTACTCTTTCCCTGCATTGACCTATCTCTAAATAGTCACTACTTTGCAGATGCACCACTCTGAGACACTGATAGTAGTTTCTGGAATGAGAATTTGGTCTTTGCTATACTGAAGATCTGACTCATTTAGTAACAGATTTGGGTTTTTTTGGTTTATACAGAAGATGATCACAAATGGACTGGGCAGGAGATACACTTATACCTCTCTGGCTGTGGGAGTTACCAAATCCATTACCATCAAATGGATTCCAACTCATAGCAATTTTACGAGAGATAATATGCCACGTATATTTACAAGAAACCTTTTGTAAGGCTTTTACTCTCAACATTTAAAGATCAGCAATCTGTGCAAATCAGGCCATGTCAGGGTTTCTGGAGAACATGGTATGGTCCTCTTGATGTTGTATGGTAAGGCCTTTCTACTTGAGGACCAGTGTGACCACAAAATTCAGTGAAAATGCTGGCAATAAGGCCTAGTGATGTTTAAAATCTTTGCAGCTATGGGCTTTACTAGTGAGATTATTTTTCAAGTCTACAATTAAAGTATGTTGGTTCAGTATTAGGAAGGAGAATTGCCAGTAGATTTAAATACTGAATCATCTTGGTATATATTAAGCTCAACTTAATTCTGATTCTGATCTAAAGCCTTCATTTATCATCAAATATATATGAGTCCCTAGTAAGCATTTCTCTAACTGATTTGAGACATTCAAAATGTACCAGACTCAGATATAGGACCTATGGACAAGTAAGGAAGAGCTGATATATACATAAGAATATATTTATGAAACAAATATTTCTGAATATTTCACTGTGGGGCCAACTCTATATTAGGTATTGGAAATTAAGCGGAAGGTTAATTTGTGCTCCTGCTGTCGTGCATTACTTACTGGTAGGGGAAGAAAGGCATGAAGGAAAAACAAGTTTTGTGAGACTGAATATGAGTGCCCTTATGTTGTCCACTAGTTCACTATCGTTTTCTAAGTCATCGTCATGTAAGTGTCTGCATGTAGCCACTATTGTCCACTGTAAAATCTCTGCCCTCCCACTGTGGGACACAGAGATCTGCTTTGGTCCTGTAGCCTTCCAGAACTACTTCATATGTAAGTCTCCCTAATAAACTCCTTCACCACCACACTGGAGTTGCCAGCCTCTTTGATCTCTCAGCACCCACCATTTTTGGAGACAAATCTCTTGTTACTGGTCCATGCCTAGACAATTGTTGAGCCAGCCAGGAGACCAAGGAAATGCCAAGTGGGAATGAAGCATCTGCAGGGGAAATCCCAGGCTGGCCAGCAACTGCCATGTGGGGAGGTCTGGCCCATAAGCTTTTCTGAGGGGGAAATCCTGGGTTGGCCAGTGACCTCCATGTGGGAATCTCTGGCCCTTATGCTTGATGTATGTGGACAGCCACGTGAGTATGAAGACTCCTCGAAAACACCAAATAGCATAGCCCAGTTGTGGGCAGATACACACCTTCATAAGTGTGGAAGAGACGTTAGGAGACCAGCAGCAGCCATAGAATGGCCGCTGCTCTGGGCTGTTTAGATGGCCACTGCAGCCCAGCTAGCTGCTGAAATACACATGAAACCTTTGCAGGAAAAGTTACAGTTAAAAAAACTAAAAGATGCACAGCAATAGTTTGTGGTTATGACTGGAGTATTGAGCAGCTGTGACCAAGAATAAGATGAGCAACTAGAAACACTCACCCGTAGGTTTGTAAAGATGAAAGATTCAGGGGCTAGGGGAACAATCTCTCAGCCGTTGCTCAAAACACCCCCAACAATGGGACTGGAGATAGTAGGAGGGCCTAAGCAGGTCCCCAGTGCTGAGAACACCCTGTAACATCTAGCATAAAGCAAGAGTTAAAACAACAGGAATAAAAGAAGTAAAAAGCCCTTCAAGAAAACAGTGTTCAGATTTCCGGCAAGATGGCGCTCTAGGCAGAAACACCACACCGTCCCTCCACAACAAAGATCCGAAAAACTAAGCCAAACAGAGAATCAACAATCCTGAAACCCTAGAACATTAAATGAAGAGATAAAGAACTCA